TTGAAGTGCAAGGCGTGTTTGGGGAACAGTGAACAGTCTGGTGGGATTAGAGAGGAGGAAGCTGAGGCACAGACTTGAATGACAGGGAGTTTCTAGATTCTGGAAGGACTTTGAGCAGAGGCGTGACAATCATGTCCGAACTTTAGAATGAGCGTAGAGGTTGGATTTGAGACTGGAGGGGAGGAGATAAGCCATTATTCCTACTATTAATAGTGATAAGAGTTCCATTTACTGAACATCCCCCACGTTTGTCAGTTTGTCATACTGTCGTGGCTTGTGTGTTGCTGTGATGCTGGAAGCCATGCCACTGGTATTTCAAATACCAGCAGCATCACCCATGGTGGACATGTTTCAGCAGAGCTTCCAGACTTAGACAGACTAGGAAGAAAGGCCTGGTGATATACTTCCAAAAATTAGCCAATGAAAATCCTATGGATCATGACAGAGTATCATCTGATACAGTGCTAGAAAATGAGCCCCCTAGGTTGGAAGGCGCTCAAAATACACAGTGGACACGAGCATGCCATGATTGTAAAGATGGCGCAGGACCCGACAACATTTTGCTCTGTTGTACGAGGGGTCACCATGAGTTGGAGCCGACTTGATAGCAACTAACAACAACAGCAACATTTGGAGGATATTATTATCATCTTTCTTTTGCAGATGAGAAAACTGAGGCTTCGAGAGACCGAGTGACAGCCCAGGGTCACTAGGATTGGAATCCAAGTCTGGCTGATTCCAGAAACCTCAGTGATAAACTGGCGCTGGCTGGTCGGGAAGGTGTGTAATAAAAATAGTTCCAGGCAGAAGAGCAAGGGAGCTACTCGAATTTATCCAATTCCAGGAATGGAGAAGATAAGATAGGTTTCAAAGATAATAGAAAGGCAGATTTTTTTTTAGTTTTGTTTTGTATTTTAAATAAGTTTGTTCATACACACTGAGGATAGCAGCTACATCACTAAGGTTATGAACTTTTCTGGGGCTTGAACTGGCGGACCATCCAAAGGGGAAAAGAGTATTGCTCCTGCAGGGCAGTGGCGGGGGGCTGGGGAGCAGCACAGCGTCCAAAGCTCAGTGTGTCCAGCAGCTCTGAGGCCCCCCATGATCAGAGGTGCAGCCAAAGCTCGGGGTTTGGAGGCCCAGTAGCAAGTGGCAGGGGTGAGTGAAGGCAGAGGAGTCAGCCTGAGTTCCAAGTGCGTCTGACATCTGATGTCAGTGAGGTCAAAAGTCTCCAAGGGGGCGGGAAATATACAAGACCAGCCTGGAGCATCTTGTAGTGCCAGAAAGTCAGAAAGTACTTTAACACACACACAGACACACACAGACACACACAGACACACACACACACACACACACACACACACGCTAATGTAGGCATGTCAAAGAGACACAGGAACCAACTAAGGCTGGAACAATATGAGCAACAAAACAAAATTGCATTGGATTATAACCCAAAGTGTAAAATAAATATCCATGAGTCCATGCTGATATAAATAAATGATTGAATAAATGATATAAATAAATGATTGAGACAAGACTAATCTCCAGTGCAGAATTCCAGATAATTTATGTAGCTGCTCTGCCTCAAGGAGGTGGAGCCTAACTCCCCATTCCTTAAGGGCGGGCTGCCCCTAGTGACTTCCTTCCAAAGAGTACGGTATGGCAAGGGAGAAAAAAGAGTCACTTTACAGTGGAACATGACCTCAGCCAGGGGATAAGGGTTAGCATCAACAGTCATCAGTCATGTTGATATGAAGTGTGTCCATCAGCAGCCTTCGTTAGGGCGCCAGCAGCGCCTCATAGCCTCGGAAAAGGTCCACTTCTCATAAGCATAGCATATCCACCTGCAGCAACCAGGGCTCCGGTTCAGGGCTGGCTGCATCTGTCCAAGTCCCCACGGGATGGGGAGCAGAAACCCTGGAGCATCTGGCCGTCTTCCTCAGCTGCTAGGCGCTCAGAGGACAGGACATCCAGTCACTTTGGCTGCAGCCCAGGACCTAGAGGTGCAGCCACAACCACAGTGTCTTGGGAGGGCTCTGTCAGAGGCACAACAATGCCCAGCAAACTTGGCAGTGGTCCAGAGCTACAAGGGTTAGCCGTTCAACATTAGAAAATTCTATCAATGTATTTCATCATATTAACTGATTTAAAGAAAAAGACCATCAAAATACGTGGGAAAACAAATAATAAAATTCAAGACCCATTATTGAAAAAAACAACATTTTAGCAACTTAATAAGGAGTCCCTGGGTAGCCCAAACGGGTAAGCACTCAACTAATAACAGAAGGAAACATCTTTGACCTGATATATGTTATCTACCAAAAACAAAATCATACCTAACTGTGAAACTTCAAAAATTTTCCAGTTGAAGTCAAGAACAAGACAAGGATCCCTACGCACGTACTCAGTATTGCACTTGTTGTTGTTAGTTGCCTTCCAGTTGATTCCAACCCATGGTGACCCCATGTGCGCTGAGCGTAACTGCTCCATTGGCTTTTCAAGGCTGTGACCCGTCAAAAGCAGATTGCCAGGGCTGTATTCTGAGGGGCCTCTGGGTGGGTTTAAATCGTCAACCTTACAGCTACTAGCCGAGCACTTAACCATTTGCGCCACCCAGGGCAGTCCTAAACAATGTAGTAAGGCAAGAAAAATAAATGTGACGTATAAGGAACGGGAAGGAAGAGATGAAATTGCCATTATTTTCAGACCATATGATCATACCCTTACATACACTTACCAAAGATTCAATAGGTAAATTATTAGAGTTAATAAGCCAGTTCAGCAAGATTTTTGTATATAAGGTCAACAAAATACAACTGCCTTCCTTTATACTGGCAATAACCAAGTCAAAAGGCAATTAAAAAAAAAAAGAAAGTATAGAATAAACCAAAAACCAAACCAAACCTGTTGCGGTCGATTCCAATAAACTAATAAAAACATGCAATATTTTGATGGAAAAAAAATCATAAAAATGAATTGAAGATCTGAAAGAAAGGAGAGAGATATCATATTTATGGATTGAGAAGACTCACTATTATAAATATTCACTTGTTTCTCCAATGTGTCAATTCAATGAAATTGTAATGTAAATCCCAAGGGAATTCTTCAGGGAGCTTGACAAAATGATTCTACAGTTCATATGGAAGAATACAGGTATATAGATAGCTCAGACAATTATGAACACCAGAAACCAAGTTGGAAAGCGGGGCTTGTCCCCAGATGTCAAGGATGTCATAAGCTCTAGAATTAAGACAATGGATTATTGGTCAGGAATAGACAAATTGATGAAGAACAGAGAGCCAAGAAACAAATCCATGCACTAACGGGAACTCAGTGTACATCAGAGGCGCTGTCATGGATCAATCGGGGAAACAGCAAACAACTCAGTAAATGGCATTGGGCCAAAACCTGGGCAAAACCTTACTTCAATTATTTTTTTATGACAATGAGACCTTTTTAAATATCAGGAGACAGACTGGCCAGAGAGACTGGCTGGGTTCCGAAACCAACTCTTCCACTTACTGACCTTGAGCAAGTTGCTGTGCCTGTTTCCTCATCTGTAAAATAAGGATAATAACAGTACTTACTTCATAGGCTTGGTGTGAGGATTAAATAAATGACTAAATATAGGGAAAGCATTTAGACCAATCCTTGTTACATCTGCACTAGGTAAGCAGTAGCTATTACCATCCTTTTACCTTCTGCCCTTAACACATGGTGTTAATAGCACCTCCACTTCCCCCTTTTTTGCTCAACAGTGGGGGTCTTTGATTATTCAAATGGACCAGAATGGCCCAGTTCACTGGGTCTTTGGGGGCCTAGTCTAGTCTCCATCCTCATGATCAGGACATGCTATAGTGGGAGGTCTTCTCACTTTTTAAAAATTATTTCCTTAAGGCAGTAATTGTGGTCATTGGTGACATCCAATCTCAACTCTTACCTCACTTGTCACCCTGACAGCCAGATCATGACAGCTTTCTATATGTATCACACCGCAGTTGGATAATTTTCTTTCTTTTTTGGATGCTTTTCTTTTTTGAAAAAAATAAACAAACTATATTTTATTTAGCCTAGCCCTATTCTCCCTACTCATCTCCCCTTATGGCTCCTACCCCTGCTCGAGATTCCACTGAAAGCCCACGCAACTGGCACCTCCACCATGAAGCCCTCGGGAAGGAACTAGCGCCCCCTGCCGGGGCCGGGACATAAGAACGCCCGGGGAGCCGCCCATTTCGCATCACCAGGGGCTCCGCCCCCATCCCTCGCTCGGGCTCCTGGCATCATGTGATCCCAGCCCCTTTCCAGCTTTGGGGTGGAACCCGGGGTGGGGGTGCCGAAGGACCACAGGTGAGAGAGACTGGACCGGCTGAGGGTGGATTGCCTTAGCGGTGGGGGCTGTCCCGGTCAGGCCTGGGAACCTGGGTAGGGTGTCTATCAGAACACAACCGACGTGAGAGGGAGGGAGGGGAGATTGAGAATTAACCCCATTCAGTGTCTGCTTCGTGCGGAGTAGTTTGGAGCCGGGCCTTTAGCTGGGGAGAGAATCCGGGCTCCTCTGCTTCCTATCTGTGTGTCCCTATCTGTGTGTCGTTGGATGAGTCACTTAACGTCTCTGAATCTCTGCTTCCTGTGGTTGCCAACATGAAATGAAATAATGCACATAAGTAATCGATAATAGGAAGTGTTACTATTATATCCCATTTAAGCGAGCGTGTAAATTTCTCACAGATGGGAAGACCTTAAAGGTTGCTGTAGCTCAGCGCTTTGGAGGCAGGACTTCCCTCCCTCATCATGGGTGCTAGGACCTAGTGGGGTGCTTACATCCTGGGTGCTGTCTCCTGTGGCCCCCAGGGTGTGAGGGTACCGTCTGGAAGGGAGGTTGCCTCCCAGGTTCCCACTGGCCTGGTGTCCTGAATGGTCTGGCAGGTCAGAACCTCCACCATGAGGTCTCCTCTCTCTGTCTCTTGCTTTCTGCTTTTGGCCCCTATAGGTGGACAGACATGTCCCAGGAGGGGGCCACAGAGGGCTCCAGCACAGAGGACCCTGTTCTCAGTCTCCGAGGCTGCTCTGGGATTTTCCAGGAGTATGTGGAAGGAGTCAGCTCCATGCCAGTTCTGGCACCGGACGGTCCAGAGGCGAGCTCTGGGGCCCGAGTGTGGGCTGGCAGCAGGAAGAGGGTCCTCATGGAAGAGGCCCATCCAGGTATTAGCTCCCAGGCTGGGGTCTCTGCTGGGGCCAGCCTGGAGGCCGAGGGCTCTGACACCAGGGCCTGTGTGGTGGTTCTGGAGCTGCCAGCTGTTGGATAGAGCCAGGATGCGACTTCTGTTCCCAGGCTCTGCCCACAGTGCCAGCTCCGGGGAGGGCTCGGCCTCCAGCAGGCACCAGCTTTCACTGCCTGACGTCTTAACTGAAGTTAGCCCAGAATCTTGGTAGCATGTCAGTGAGAGCTCTGGTTGGCAGAGAGAGCCAGCAGGGGTAGAGGAGGCAAGCTGCCCAGGCTCAGAGAGGCCAGAGAAGGTCGGATGAGTTCTCCAGAGTGTGATGGAAGAGCCCCACCCTCAGCAGAGAGGAGGCCCTGAAAGGAGCCTGCCATCCTGACAAGACCTAGCCTCTGTGGGGGCAAGAAAGAATAGCAGAGTGTGCAGGCCTTCTCAGAGGGCAGGGCGAGGGCTGGTGGCTTCTTGTGGCTTGGTGAGAGCCCTGATGGGGACAAGGCACTAACCTGGAGTCCTCAGGAATTCCTCACAGCCCTCTTCACCCAAAGACGCTTGGCCTGGAGATCCAGGTGTTAGTTAGGTGGCAAGTGCCTCAGGACTGAGAAGTTTGAATATTTGCCCGCTGCAGGGGATGGGGCTCAGCTGGACAGCCCGTGTGGTCCTGGTGGTCTCCTGCTGCCTGGTGGAGTGAAGGCCCTCAGGCCAGCCGCAGAGGATCCTCCACAGAGCCCTGCACTGTGCCTAAGAGTGTCTGAAGAGGCTTCTACAGAGCGACAGGAAGCTGAGCACCTTGTGGGGACTGTCAGTGACGATGGCCCTACCCCTTCACACAGCCAGGAGGAGCTGGAGGTCAAGGTCCAGCCAGGGTCCTGGGGAAGGCGGGAGCAAGTACTCCCTGCCTCTGCTGACACCCACGCCAGCTCTCTGGAACCCTTGCCCAACCTCAGTGCCTCCCTGGAGCCTGCAGCCAGCAAGGCCCGTGCAGGCCCAGTCAGGGGATTGAGAAGATCTAAGTGTGCTGTATTGAGGAGGGATACAGACAAAAGTTCAGGCAATTCCAGTCAGGACCAGTCAGAGGAACCCACCCCAGGAGGCTGCCCCAAACTGGTAAGTTGAGTCTCAGAGATTGGATAGGAAGGGCCAGGCCATACTTCCCAGCATCATGCTTGCTGGTGGAACGTAATAGAACTAAGCTGATGGGCCCTTTTTAAATTTTTATTTATTCATTTATTTATTTTACTGTGCTTTAGGTGAAAGTTTACAGCTCAAGTTAATTTCTCATTCAAAAATTTATACACATATTGTTTTGTGACATTAGTTGCAATCCCCCAATGTGACAGCACACTCCCCCTTTCCACCCTGGCTTCCCTGTGCCCATTCGACCAGTTCCTGTCCCTTCCTGCCTTCTCATCCTGCTTTTGGACAGGAGCTGCCCATTTGGTCTCGTTTATCTGATTGAACTAAGAAGCACATTCCTCACGTGTATTATTTTTTGTTTCATAGTCCTGTCTAATCTTTGTCTGAAGAGTGGGCCCTGGGAAGGGTTTCAGTTCTGGGCCAATAGTGCATCCAGGGGCTGTAGTCGTGGGGGTTCTTCCAGTCTCTGTCAGACCATTAGTCTTGTCTTTTTACATGAATTTGAGTTCTGTTCTACGTTTTCCTCCTCTGTCCGGAACTCTCTGTCGTGTTCCTTGTCAGGGCGGTCATTGGTGGTAGCCGGGCACCATCTAGTTCTCCTGGTCTCAGGTTGGTCTAGTCTCTGGTTCATTTGGTCCTTTAGTCCTTTGGGCTAGTATTTTCCTTGTGTCTTTGGTTTTCTTCATTCTCCTTTGCTCCTAGTGGGATGGGACCAACTGATGTATCTTAGATAGCTGCTTGTGGGCTTTTAAGACCCCAGATGCCACTCACCAAAGTGGGACGTAGAACTGGACGGGCTCTTAATGAACATTGTCCCTCATACCCATTTTATAGATGAGTAAACTGAGGCCCACCAAGGTCAGGACAGGGGAAAAAAAGTTTGCTGAATTCCTATAAGGGGTTATTATCTTTTGGAGTCAGTGAACCCTGGGTTCAAATTTTGCCGCTGTCCACTTCTTAGCTGAGTGACCTTGAGATATCATTTAATCTGTCATCTCAGTTTCCTCATGTGTAAAAACGGAATGGTATACTAATGCCAAGCTAAAGGAGTTCCTGGGTGGCACCAATGGTTGTGCTCAACTACTAGCCTAAAGGTTGGCGGTTTGAACCCACCCAGAGGTGCCTCAAAAGACAGACCTGGGGATCTGCTTCCAAAAGGTCACAGCCTTGAAAACCCTATGGAGCTGTTCTATTCTGCACTCATGGGGTTGCCATGAGTTGGAACTGACTTGATGGCAGCCATAATCAACAACAGTGCCCACCTAATGGGCTTGTTTTGGAGATTAAATGAGTTTTTGGTGTAAAATAATGTGCCTAGCACAGCATAAGGCACAAGGTAAATTGCTTAATTCACATTACGTTTGCTTTTCACTTAATGTTGGCAGTCACCTTATAAGATAAGCATTAGCCCCATATCTCCAGCTGGAGAAACTGCTAACCAAAAAGTTGGAGCTGTGAGCCCACCCAGAGGCACCTTGGAAGAACGCCTTGGTGATCTACTTCCAAAAAATCAGTCACTGAATACTTTAGGGAGCACAGTTCTATTCTGACACACATGGGGTCGCTATGAGTCAGTATAGACTCAATGGCAACTGATTTTAGCGTATGTACGACCACCACCCTTCTGTCAGTTTATCCTGCTGTCATGGCTTGTGCGTTGCTGTGATACTGCAAGCTGTGCCACTGGTATTTCAAATACCAGCAGGGTCACCTATGGTGGACAGGTTTCAGTAGACCTTCTAGACTAAGACAGACTAGGAAGAAAGAGCTGGTGACATACTTCCAAATATTAGCCAATGAAAACGTATGGATCACAACACAATATCATCCACTATAATGCTGCTAGATGAGCCCCTAGGTCAGAAGTTGCTCAAAATACACAGTGGCTGCACCAGTGGATTTGAGCATACCAACAATTTTGAAGATGGCACAGGATCGGTCAGCATTTCATTTCGGAGCTAACTCGATGGCAACTAACAACAACGTGTATATATGAACATCTCCGCATTGAACTTTTGTATATAAAAGTAGGCACACACTAGCCCTTATTGTTCCGGGTCTCGCATTTTGTTTATTTCTTAAGCTGTATAGTGTTTGAAGATCTTTCCAAGTCGGTGAATTTTGTTCTGCCGAATCTGTGATTTCCTGAACCTTTCGTTGCATCTGTCTATAGACTTAGTTTTCACAGCTACAGAGCACTGTCAGTACTAGAGGATGGGCTGTGACTTCCTTTTCTCATTTCCCACCACTATAGTGTAGGGCAGTGCACAAGTCCCGAAAGCCGACGGGTTGGCACTCAGTCCTGGCTTTGCTACTCTCTGAATGACCTAGACTAGTGGCTTCAGCTTTCTGTGTGTATAATTCCCACATCTGCAAAATGGGGGTATTAAGAGTACTTAGCTCATAGTGGGAGTGGTGAGGGGTCAATGAGATGGTGTTTGACGTTTAAATGTGTTTAATGTGTTTAAATGTGCTTGACATTCAACGCGGTGCCTGATACAAGGAAAGTAGTACTCAAAAATGTTACCTGTTATTGACGTATACGATTTTGTCCTGCTGTAAGTAACATGGAGCCCTTGTGGCCCAGTGGTTGAGAGCTACAGCTGCTAACCAAAAGGTCAGTGGTTCGAATCTACCAACTGCTCCTTGGAAACCCTATAGAACAGTTGTACTCTGTCCTGTAAGGTCTCTGTAGGTCAGAATTGACGCGACAGCAATGAGTTTGTTTTTCCCTAAGTAACGCCAGGGTGAACATCCTTAAGGATCTGGCTTCCCCTATTTCAGATTATTGTATCAGAAATGGGTTCCTGGGTCTGCAGCCTTCTGGGGGCCTGTCTGAGCTTGATGGGGGAGCCAGGTTCCTTGACTGGATGCAGCACCCGGCCACTCTCCTCTAGGCCCATCCTTAGCTCTTGGACAGAGTCTTTCTGCCCACAGCTTCCCAAACAACGTATTGCCATGGCGAGGGGTGCCAGCTTTGGGAGACTGAGGCTGAGCTGTGACAGGGACGGGAGGGTGGTTGGGGGCAGGGCTGAGCGGGGTGTGGCCAAGTGTGGACACAGTGCCCAGCTAGCCTGGGGCCCCTTTGAGGGCTCTGGCACCTTCTCCTGGAGGCAGCCTGGCCTGCGGCAGGGACAGACAGACAGTTTCAAGATCCGGCTCTGTCTCTTACGACCCTAAGGTGTCTCTTCTCTGAACCTTAGTTTTCTCCTCTATGAAATGGGAGAATAAGCTGGGCCCCAGAACTGCTGGGAGTGTGATGAGAGGTTGCTTATGTATTCTTCCTACTTGAAATAGAGACTCTTGGGGGGAGGGTAGGATGGAATGCCAGCTCTTGTCTACCCTGAACCTTACAGTGGCCAGTGAGGCTGCAGCCACCCTGTAGGGCAGGGACAGAAGGCTGGGGTAGCAGGGGCCACTCTACCAGTGCCCCCTGCTCTGTCCTCAGTCAGCCCGTCACAACCAGGGAGGCACACAGCTCCTACTGCCCAGTCCAGACTCATAGGCTCAAGGTACCCTGTCTGCAATTGGAAAAGGTCACGAGGGGTGGGGGGCCAAGAGTTGTAGGGGAGGAACGTGTCTTCCCAGCAGATGGGCAACCTAAGAATAGCTCCTTTTATTCAGACCTTACTACATACCAGGAGCTTCATAGAGGTCATCTCATTTAATCCTCACAATAGCATTAAAAGTCTGTGTTAATACTTCTGTTTTGCTAAGAAAACTGACTCAGAGAAGCCAAGTGACTCACTCAAGGTCACACAGCGAATAAGTCAGGATTTGAATTCAGGCTAGGACTCCAGCATTGGTGCTCTGAGCCAAGGAGTTTGGCTAAGGGGTTTGGATTTTTATAGGACTTTATTATGATTTGTCAGCAAGCAAGTGGGCTTCTCTAGGAATCTCACAGCAAATTATGGCCTGTGGACTGGACGCTTGTTTTTGTAAGTTTTACTGGAACACAGGCACAGCCATTTGTTTACTTATTATCTATGGCTGACTCCATGCTACAATGACAAAGTTGAGTAGCTGTGATTGAAAAAAAAAAAAAAAAACCAGTTGCAGTGGAGTTGACTCTGACTCATGGCAACCCCACATGTGTCAGAGTAGAACAGTGCTCCGTAGGGTTTTTAATAACTGATTTTTCGGAAGTTGATCACCACGTCTTTCTTACAAGGTGTCCCTGGGTGGACTTGAACCTCCAACCTTTCTGTTAGCAGCTGAGCCCATTAACCATTTGCACCATCCAGGGACTAGAGATTATATCTCCAGCAAGCCTAAAATATTTTCTGTCTGATTCTTTATAGAAAAAAATCACCAATCCCTGGAATGAACGCCATGTACTTATCACCCTAGCAGCCCTGAACCCATGACTAATCCTGCCCCATCCACACTCACATTCACCCCCTTCCCGCATCTAGAATTATTTGGAAGCAAGTCCCAGACATCATTTCATTTCATCCATAGGTATTTCAGTTTTTATCTCCAAAAGATAAAAAACTCCTTTAAAAGATATAATAGCATTATTATGCCTTATACTATGTAGTATCATCAAATAGTCAATCAATGTTTAAATTTCCCATAGTTTAATAAAGGTCATAATTTATTTTTATACTTTGTCTTTTTAAATTTAGGATACACATAAGGTCCACACATTACAATTGGTTTATATGTCTTTTAAGTCTCCTTTAATTTCTAGGTTCTCCCTCCATATCTTGTTTTTTTTCCTTGCAGTTTGTTTTTGAAGAAACTCAGTTTTTTGTGGGTTTTTTTTGGTAGCTTTTTGCATCCTTGTAGCATAGCTAAACATGTTATTTTGGTGCCTGTATTTCCTGTAACTTTGTGGTTGAATCTAAAGATCTGATTAGATTTAGGTTCTGTGCTTTGGCCTGACTAAAGAAAATGAAAACAAGTCCACGAGAGCCAAAGTCCAACCTTCAGTATATCCCATCTGAATTTAAGAGACCATCTCAAGA